AAAAGCCCCCATAGTCTTTAACGGTTTCAACACTAAAAGTTCAAAGTGTCATCTGAGACTCAAGGCAATGGCTCAACTGTAAAAAATTTTAAAATTAAAAAAAAAGAAAGAAAGAAAGTTATACCTGACAGAAACAGAAATCAATGAAAGAGAACTGTATGTGTCTGTAACTCCAGATTTTGGGGGACCAAGGCACGAGTATCAGGAATTTAGGGTTGGTTTTGGCTGTATAGTGTGTTTAAGGCCAGCCTGAGCTACATAGTGACACCCTTGTCTCATCTTGAAAAACCAAGGGTCGGAAGTGTAGCTGAGTGATAGAGGACTTAGCATGCACAAAGTCCTGTGTTAGATTCCCCAGTTCTGCAATAACAACAGCAAAAGTTCCTCAGTGGCTCTTGGAGGAGTCACTAGTAAAACACAAGCCTGTCCTTCAGGCAGGAATCATCTCTAAGCTCCAGTCTAATAAAAGTTAACTGTACGATGACGACAACAAAGCCTCACTATCTCAAAATGTGTGGACAGGCAAAGCATAAGAATTGAAGTAAGCCAGGTTTTCAGGAACACTGGAGTAGACTGCTTTAACAGTTCATCACTCTTCGAAGACCAGGGTTGTGTCTGTAGTCATAAGCATGCTGCATCTCTGATGGACATTTTCACCAATGAATAGCAGTACTTATAATTAAAGAATTCCTCCACTAAGTTTCTATGAAAGTTAATTTTTTACTATGACTTTTAAGTCTTTTTTTTTTCTTTTTTTTTTTGGTCTTTTTGAGACAGGGTCTCCCTGTAGCCCAGCTGGCCTGGAACTCACTGTGTAAACCAGGCTGGCCTCAAACTCACAGAGATCCACCTGCCTCTGCCTCTTGAGTGCTGGAACTAAAGGTGTGCACCACCACCCCTGGTGACTTTAAGTCTCTTTTAAATTAGAAGATATTGGGGCTGGAGAGATGGCTCAGCTGTTAAGAACACTGGTTGTTCTTGCAGAAGACCTGGGTTTGCATCCCAGCACCCACATGGCAGCTAACAACTGTCCGTCACTCCAGTCCCAACAGCCTCTTCTGACCTCCTCAGGCATTGCACAACACGGGTGCATTTACCTACACGCAGGCAATACACACATACACATAAAATAAAAATAACAAATAAACTTAAAAAAAAAGTTTAAATTAGAAGATATCACACAGGCCTTGGCCTGCTGAGTCCCTAATACTCCTCAGTGGCCATAGTCTCCCTCTGTGAAGTGGCCCAGGAGCTCAGAGGCTGCAGTGTGTGCATTCTCAGGTCACCCCAGAGGCTGCTTGATGAATTAAAGACATGCAACATTCCAGCCTGGGGGATGAGGAATCTGGGTGAGGTGAACAAGGAAAATGGGGCAGCAAAGATTCAAGATGCAGCAAGAGAGAGAAGGGGAACTGTGGGAGCCCCTGGGAAACATGGGTGATTGCAGATTTCCACAAAGGTACAAGCTGATGACAAAGCCCCAAATCAGGTTTATCTGGCACTTGCAGGGAAGAAATAGTGCTTTCACAGAGGCAGAGGTAAAACTTCTATAACCGTATCCTAGCAAGTTATGGAGTCCAAAAGTACATCTAATGGAGTAATTAAGAATATAACCCTGGATGGTGAGGGCTCAACGGTTAAGAGCACTGGCTGCTCTTGCAGAGGACCTCGGTTCAATTCCCAGCATCCACATGGCAGCTAACAACTATCCATAATTCCAGGGAAGTCTGACGCCCTCTTCTGACCTCCACGAGGATTGCATGACACGGGTGCACTTATATACACTCAGGCAATAAATTCATACACATAAAATGAAAATAATAAATAAAATATTTAAAAAATGTATTTTAAAAAAGAATATAACATTGGGGCTGAAGAGATGGTTCAGCAGTTAAGAGCACTGACTGCTCTTCCAGAGACTGCAGGTTTGGTTCCCAGCACCCACATGGTGGGTGACAACTGTCTGCAACTCCAGTTCTAGGGAATCAAACACCCTTTTCTGGCCTCCATGGGCATTGCATGACACAGATGCACTTACATACATGCAAGAAAAATATTCATATACATAAAAATAAATAAATGTTTTAAAAAATAACAACCTTTCACTTACCTTGATAAGCCCAGGAGGAGGTTTCTCATAACTAGAAAATACAATACAACCATGTCAACAGAAACAACAGCTGAAGGTTTCCATCAGATTAGAATAAAATAATACTCTTAGTAAAAACTGAAAACACCTTAGCTGTATAATTTCCTACAATGGGCTCAGCACTAAGGTTCGCGTGTAAATAACCTGCCATTACTGCACATCCTGCAGCTGAAGTTAGAAGTCCTGTGGGCTAGTCTGGTTCTAGAACATCAAGGTGCCTTGGTCAGGTCGTTTACCAAGTGTACTGACCTCATACTCAACAATGAACAGGCTCCTGGGGGAAGGTGCAACTCATCTTAGTGCTGGGGGACACGGGGAGGGGCAGCAAGCCCAGACAAGGCCTCTGTCCAGGGGCAGCATTTCCCACAATCTCCAGCCATCCTGCTGCAGGGCCAGCAGGAACTGGCACCCAGCACTGCCTGCCTCCAAGTCTGTGTGGTCACACTGCATGGGGCATGTAGGATCCCTGCTTGGTGCCCAGTCCACAGGCTGTAGTCAGTACTGACGGCTGCTGGACTCAGTACACAAAGGAACCACGGAAGGAAGCCTTCTTCCATTGCTTCCACCGTATCAACATGCTCTTGGACACCCGGAGTTCTGAAAAAGAGCATGGGACCTCTGGTCCCAGTACCTTCTCACCTCCAACACTCTGCTGAAATTGCCAGAAAAAGCTGCTAGATTTCTAGTTTGTGAATCAGCAGCAGATGCCTGTGCTCATTTTGAAGTAGCAACAAATAAACACATTATCAAACACAGCATGGGCATTTGGCTTTTAGTTGTGAATGCCTAACAAAGGAAAAGAGAGGGAGAGAAGGAAGGACAGGTAGAGGAAGAGGAGAGGGAGAGGGGGAGGGGGAGGGAGAGGGAAAGGGAGGGGAAGAGTAAGGGGTAGGGGGAGAGAGGAAGAGAGGAAAGGAGGCAGGACCAAGACCTGTCTAGTTGAAATGCTTCCACAGGTGACAGGTAGCTGAGGTCATCAGGGCACCGAAGCTGCCGTGCGACTGTGTCTGGGCTCCAGAAAGCTAAACATGCGGGAGCTCCAACCTGTGCACACTCAGAAAACAGCAACAGAGCTCTGCATTTCCTTAATGGAAGTGTTATTTTTGTTATCATAGAAACACCAATAATGCTAAGAGGTTAGACATTAATGAGACAAGCTCAGCAGCAGCTTGATCTGAGTTCTGATGAGTCCCTGCCTCTTGCTTTCTGCTTGCTTGCAAAGCCAGCACCATGGGGACAACCCCATGTCACATCAGCACAGGATGTGACTGAGCCCGCCCTTGGACCATGGCTGCCGTTGCCGCTTAGTTCCGGAGGGGGTTACTACAGGGAAAACATCTTCCGTGGCTCTGTTCAAACAAGGCACCTCTACCTGTTATTATCCTCTGGGCTTTTTTTTTTTTTTTACTACAGGTACTCTCCCTTTTCGTTAAACTATATTTTATTTCAGATGTTTATTTTGTGTTGGTGCGGTACACACATGCCAGGACACGTGTGTGCAGGTCCGAGCACAATTTGCAGAAGTCCCTGCTCTCCTCCCATCATGTGGGCCTCAGGTTTTTGGGCTTGGTGGCCTTGACGCAGCCCAGGGGCTCTCCTTTTAAAAGAGTCTTCAAGTAAGTTTCTATTTTTACACATTTCCTCTTATCTCCATTCCCTGAGGCCACAGCCCCCTGTGGGGATAAGTGACTAAATTGGTTTTCCTCCTGTGGGCCTGTACTTCCAGCCTTTGCGGCCAGGACCGCCCACCCCCGTCCCACCCCGCCCACCGCCCGCAGACGCACAGGACTCCTCCAGGTGCTGGAGCTGCTGCGGCTGCCGCGCATTCAGTGGCCGCGGCAGCTCCTGCTCCGGCAGCTCCCACGGCCTCCACGCATCCGGGCCAGGCCGACGTCGCGCGACCACACCTGTCCGCTGGGCGCCCGCAGCGGGGCCAGCCGATGCCAAGCGGGGCCAGTCCGTACCGCCTCCCCGCGGAGTCGGTGCTGAGCACAGGGACTGAGCAGCTAGGCCGGTGCACGCCCTGCTTGCGGCTCGGCTCCGGGAGGGGCCGCGGGCGGGGCCTGGGATGGGGCGGGGTCTGGAATGGGGCGGGGCGTCTCAGGGCGGGACCTGAGCAGGTTTCCTGGGGCGCCAAGGTCCTGCCTGCTGCCCGAGTCTGGAACCCCTGGGACCCGCTCTGGGCTCCAGCTCTAGGCAAGTCGTATGTGTGTTCCTTTAGGAGGAGACCCGGATATTCATTAGGGAATCCATCCATTTTTTAGAAGATGTCTCTATAAATTCTTAAGTAGTCCCAAGAATGTGATTTGCGGGTAAAACGTAGCCAGTAAGGCGGGGCGTGTTGGCGCACGCCTTTAATTCCTGACAGAGGTTGGCGGACACCTGTGAGATCAAGGCCAGCTTGGTCTACAGTGAGTTCCAGGCCAGCTGGGACTGCAGGGAGACCCTGTCTCAACAAAACAAAACAAACAAAAGCCTATATGTATTGTGTTTGTGAAGATTCGGCTGCCTGATTTTTATTTATTTATTTATTTATTTATTTTGAGACAGGGTCTCCCTGTAGCTGGCCTCGAACTCGTTATGTAGACCAGGCAGGCCTTGAACTCACAGAGATCACCCTGCTTCTGCTTCCCAAGTGCTGGGACTAAAGGTGTGTGCCACCACGCCTGGTGAGCCTGATATCTTAATAAAATTTAATCATTTTATGTTTGCGGTGGTAGGACGGAACCTAGTGCCTGATGCATTCTAGACCAGCATTCTACCACTGATTTAGTACCCAGCTGCAGAGTTTTTTAAAAAAATCTCATTTTTTTATTTGTTGATTTTTTTTTTTGTGTGTGTGTGTATCATACAGAACATCCCAAACAATCTTATTCATCTATATACCCACTTCCCAAATGGTACCCTCCCATAGCCTCCCCTTCCCCCACACTGTAGCCCATATACTCTGTCATCCCTGTTGCTGTCCACTGTGTTGTCAGTGCCCCCAGCCATTCCCCAGCGCTTGTCCCTCTGCAGAATCTAGTCGGCCTATCTAGAAAGCCTTGTTGTAGGCAGATCAGCTGTTCCTCATCTAGCAGCAATCTGTTGTCCATATTCCTTTAGATAAGATTGGGGTCTGCTGTTCATTTTCCCAGTTCTATGCTGGGTTACTGTCTGGGAGTCTTTGGGCCACCGTGGCCAGTAACTCGAAGGTATCTCCTGTCTGGGATTGTTTCTTGTTAAAAGTGTGACTGCCACCAGTATCCTTAGTATCCTCAGGACTAGCGAGAGTGCACTCAATTCTACTTCACAGAAGTCCTTCGAGGGTTTCCCAGAAGCCCTGTGGCCAGTACCATCTTCGATGCACCTTCATGGGACTGGGCTCCCGGTCCTTCAGGGCAGCGCACCAGGAGGCAGGCTTCTCCATTGTCCTCTGGGCCTCGACCTATCTGTAAGATGAGCAAACGCAGAGACTCAAGTGACAAGCCTAACAGTGTATAACTATTAATTCCTGGAAGCTAGATTTAGAAGTGTTAGGTAAGCCTGGTGGGGTGGCTGGTAATTCCATCATTTAGAGGAGGGGGGTAGAGGCAGGAGGATGAGGCGTTCAAGGTCATTCTCAGCTACGTATTGAGTTCTAGGCCACCCTAGGACTATTTCAGACAAACAAGCAAACAAAAGTTTTACGCACTTATATGGCATGCATTTTTAAAATGTACCTGGTATGTAGAGCTATGGTAGTTGACATTATGAAATGGCCCATAGTAAACATAACAGCATGGGGACATAATGTTATTAATGTGGTTAATGCCTAAACTACTTGAGGACCACTTTTGAATTTAATATAGAAAAACCCAATGAGACATACAAAAACATCATATGAAGTTGCACATTTGTCCAGGAACTTGGAAGTCAGGTTTTCCACTGGGAGAGAACTGGCCAGGCAACTGATCCAACCATTCAAGGAGGTTTCCTGCACCAGCAAGAGGCTTGTAAATGCATTGCAAAACAGAGATAATTTAATGTATATGTCACATTCTCTGGTTTTCCATTTGTCACAGTACCATACTGGAGGCTTTTGTTTGTTTGCTGAGACAATATCAGGCTATGTAGCCAAGGCTAGCCTCAAACTCTTCTCCCATAATCCCCACACCCACTGCAATAGTAGGGATCAAATCCAGGGCCTTGTGCTAGGCATGGACAATACCTGTGTGATACATACCCAGCCTACCATACTGTTTTGATTAGTATAGATTTCTAGGAAGTTTTTATAACTTTTTTATGTTGGGGGAAATTTGATGTATCACCACTGTATTACAACTAAGCCATTAAATTTTGTAGTTTTGCTAGTATTAACTGATTCATTTTCATGATACTCCCAGTGAATCAGTTCTCTAGAGGTTCAACAGAAAGGCCATTTGAGAACCATGCAAGATCTTTCTTTGTATTTATAAAAGCTTATTCCCTCTGTTAACTTCATATCATTCATAGTAACCAGTCATGGAATATTAGGAATTGCAATTTGGGAGACACAGGTTTAGATAGTTATGAATCAAGAAAGTGAGAAAAGTGGGCATTGTCTTGGAAAGCAGGAAAGTGGGTATTTGCATGCTGAAAGGAAATGGGTTATAAAGAATAGAAAATAAAGAAAAAGGAAGTATAAACAATAGTCTTAATGTGCATCTTGAGCCTCTGGGTATAATGAAACTGCCTTTTTATCTTGACTGCTTCAGACACCTACCACCAAAGTATGGAGGTGTCCCAAGTTCTCACTCTAGGCAGCAGGGCCAATTGTCCTACATCTTGATAGACTCAGACTTCATTTGGAAAAGCTCTTTCAATGTTGCTTTCATTGTAATTGTCCTTTTATTTTCACAATGGTAAATTCTATGGTATATCGCAAAGATATGGGGCACAGGCAGAGCCATCAGTGAGTGCTAATTCCTGCTAACTTGACTTATGTATTTCCCCCAAATCTTTCCCAATTCAATGTTTGTTCCCCATTTAACTCTTTAGAGAGCACTCTCTCAAGACCAACCACATAGCCCAACAATGCTGTTTTTCCTCTGATGGCTTATAAAGTCAAGTTCAGAGACTCTAAACCCTGCTGCACCCCTAAGAACTGTCAGTCCCTTGAAAGTGAGCATGATCCCAGCTCAGTACTTACTGTCTGTTAGAAATAAAACCTGAAATCCAAGGACTCCATCAACACTGCAAAAAGAACATGCAAACAAAGCAAAAAGTAACTTGTTAAGGCAGTTTTTAACTTTTGCAAAAGGGTGTGTGTGTTGTTTCATTTGAGCAAGTAAGCACACTTTGGCAGGAGATTGATAGGTTTTTATCCTAATGCAAGAGTACTGTGTCTTTTCCCCATTGTCTGGGGTCCAACCTCATAGTCTTTCATGGTTAGCTAGTTTAAAAAGAATTGGCACCAAGGAAATGAAGGGAAGGGGGAAGGAGTCAGCTGTTCTGGGTCATGAGTTCTGGGGATGCAGCAAGGTACCTCAAAGAAAAGTTTTACAAGATAAGTGTGGGGGATTGCAAAATAGTATTACATTCCTGTCATCATTCTTTAAAAAATTTTTTTGATGTATTTATTTGTATTGTATTGTATGTGTATGAGTGTTTTGTCTGCCTGTATGTTAGTGTATCCCAGGAGGCCAGAAGAGGGTGTCAGATCTCCTGGAACTAGAATTATGGATGTTGTTAGTTACCATGTGGGTGCTGGAAATTGAGCCCAAGTCCTCAGCAAGAGTAGCCAGTGCTCTTAACTGCTGAGCCGTCTCTCCAGCCCTTGATCATTCTTTTGATAGAAAAGATCTGAATTTTTTTTATAGTCATTTCCCTCACTGCTCATGAGAAATTTGAACTCTTTCTACTTCAGTTCTGTGATCTGAAAAATGCCTTTAGTAAGCTGTTAACTTAGAAAATATAATACCTCCTCCAACTCTATTTTTTATCAAGATTGTTTTGGCTGCTTGAGATACCATATGAATTTTAGGGTGGGCTTTCTTATTATTGCAAAAAAGTCACTGAGATTTTGGTAGGGATTACTTCTAATCTATAGATCATGTTGGATAGATTGACATCTTAAATATTGATTTCTAATCCATGAACATGGGGTATGTTTCCACTTAGTGTCTCTCTCTCTCTCTCTCTCTCTCTCTCTCTCTCTCTCTCTCAATTCTCTCTCTCTCTCTCCTCTATCTCTCTCTTGGTATTTTTTGAGACAGGGTCTCCCTGTAGCCCCAGCTGGCCTGGAACTCACAGAGATCTACCTGCTTCTGCCTCTGGGACTAAAAGCATGTGCCACCACACCCGGTATTTTGTTACCAGCAAGTTCACTAGGGTATCCAGATAGGAATTGTGAGTAGGTCATGGAAAGCTCTTCTAAAACTGGCAATCCAGGGTCCTTAGGTGCTGGACACCTATGCACTGGACCAGCAGACCCAGAGGTTCAGAGCTCCAAACACTAAGAGTCAGCATGCTATTGTTCTTGGCTTTGGAATCCAGAGACTTAGGGCTCAGGCATTCAGGTTGAAGGATAACCGCTCTGGACTTTGACCGCTGACAAGTGCCCCTTTTCATAGGTGCTTGTACTTAGTGGCTTTCAGCAGCATCTGGGTAGCAATAGCAGACAGGAGTAGAGGGCACCCTAGGGTTACAGCGTTCCCTCAGCCTTATAGCCACAAGTCTTATTGCTCTCAAGGCTGGAATTTCTAAGACCCCTGACCATGCAGGTTTAGCCCTTAGCTCCCTGGACCTCACCCAGCAACCAGGGCCCGCAGTGTTTCTTCTCTGGATTTTCAAAGCCACCTGTTTCTCTTCAGCCTCAGCTCTCCAGCCTGCAATATCATGCCATGGCCTCTGCTGCCACCTCTGCTGCTATTGCTGCCGTCACTGCCAGGGCTGCTGTCCTTGCTGTAGCTTCTGCCAGCCTTTCTTTATGTGACCAACTCAGCTCTTGCTACTAGTCATTAGATATTCTTGAATAGGCAAGGAAGGACTACTGGAGAGAAGTCTTTCTTCGGCCTAATGTTACAACACCAAGGATCAGCACAGGAGGGTGGATAGTGGCATGAAACAAAACAAAACAAAACAAAACAAAAACTGAGCTAAGCAACTTACTTATATAACCAGAAATGGGGTGTGACAAGAATCTTCATCAGTCCTGGCAGCCATGTAAATGAAGGCTGTGTTTCCCCTCCGGCTTGGATCACAATGGCTCTAGAGTCATCTGCATTCACCCAGGCTTGCCTGCTTTCCAGTGCTGGGTACAGACTGGGAAGCATGTCTTCAGCCAGGGTTGAAGTGGCCCACTGCAGCTGCAGGAGTGTCCTCCAAGTGATGTGTCCCAAACAGCTCAGCGGCCATGAAAGCAATCTTGGCACTTGATAGTAAAGAGGCCGTTTGAATGATAGTCCTTTACTTAGGGCAACTGAGGCATCAGGGAAGGGTCTAATAGCTGTCAGTTGGAGTCAGTCACCCTGGCTTGTACCCAACATCTTAGCTTATTTAAAGTACAAATAAACATCGAAAGGGGTACTTGCAATAAAGGCCTATCGTTAACATTAACATTAATAGAGATTTAATAGTTTTTGATTTGGATTTGTTTTTTTTTTTTTTTTTTTTTTTTTTTTTTTTGGGTTTTTTTTTTTTTTAGATTCAGTTAGAAATTGATCCTGAGTTTCTGATCCTCCTTCCTGTACCTCTGGAGGGCTAGGATTATGGGCACACCACCACACCTTGCTTTTGTGCAGTGCTGGAGGTCTAACCCAGGCCTCCTGCATGGTAGGCAAGCACTCTACCAACTATGCTATAGTCCCATCCCAAAGTAAGAGTATTTAATAGGGTTCTAACAAGCCTTACCTCCTGACCCAGAGGGAGGTGGGTCCCTCTATTCTATCTCAGTTTTCAGCAGTATTTCATAACTCTGCGTTCTCAGATTTTTATTTTATTCCTAATTTAAAATTTTTTTCTTTTCCTTCCTTTCTCCTTCCTTCTTCCTCTCTGTCTCTGTCTCTCTCTCTCTGTTGGAGTTGGGACCAAGGGCCTTGCACATAGTAAGCAAGTGCTTTACTGCTGACCTATAGCTCCAGCTTTGTTTTTTATTCATTTTGATACTATTATAATTGGAATTGTTTTGCCATTTCCTTTTCAGAGTGTTTATTTTTAGAGTATAAAAATACAGCTAATTTTTGTGTGTTGATTTTGTCTTACAGTTTTGCCAAATTCATTAATTACATATAAGAATTGGCTTTGTGTGTGTGTGTGTGTGTGTGTGTGTGTGTGTGTGTGTACTTGGGTGTGTGTGTATTTGTGTATGTATGTACTTGGGTGTGTGTACCTGCCTCTGCCTCCTTGGTGCTGGGATCACAGGCCTGTGCTGCCATACCCAGCTTTTGTGCACCTTTTAGAGTTTTCTAAGAATTTTATATTTTCCTTTATA